GGTCCTCCACCTGTTAGAAGAACCAAACCGAGGTGAGACTGAGGGCAATGTCAGACATAGCAAAGCCTGTGACTCTTCCTGGAAATGAGTCTGTGTGAGCAACCAGCATTATACCCTGCCTCTCACTCCTACACTGTTCCATAAAACTGGATTTTTGGACACTCTTCTTCCCATTTTCCACAGACCCAAACCTGCCTGCTTAGAGCTCTCAGCTTGCACCTTCAGAGCATGGAGCTGCAGGCAGACACAGCCACCCTCTCCCTGGCATGACCCCTGAATGCAAACGTACACACCCATGGCCAGCAGTGGGAACAGAGCCAGGTCCCTTCGGACAGAGACCCATCTCACCACCAAGGTCAGCCAGTCGGAGCTGACACCTGTTTACAGGGGTAATTAGAACGAGAAGACTAAGAGCATGGCCCTGGTGCTGTACCTAACTACATATTCTTCTGTCCTTGTATACTATGGTCAAGTCTCTCTCTGGGAACATCCCTCCATTTCTTGCCTAACATCCAGACTTCTCCTGTGGTTACTACTCAAGTCAGCCTTACAAAACACCAACTCCAGCATACAAGGTTAAGTATGGAATTTTGTTTTGTTTCCTCGTTCAACAGCATTCAGGCTCAGTTGGGTGACAAGGAGGAAGACATTAAAAAATGACCATAAAGTAAATTATAGAAAGCAGAGTTTATATGACAATAAACATGCAGCTTGCAAAAGAATAGTGTACTGGTATTAAAACACACTTCCATATAGAGACAGCTTATGTGGCAATTTACAAGTTTAAACTCTGGCAGGAGTATGCAAGCCCTTCAAAGCTGGCATTCAAATTACCAGTAGCTTAATCTGCCATACTTAAGAGTACATAACAAAATTCACTTAACATTTACATTCACTAGCCATCCAATCCAGCATCAAGGCACTTTTGTTGGTAGCATGTCCATCCTCATGTCCCACGCCTCCGTTTACCTAGATGCATGTATCGGCACAGCAACATTCGGTGACCAGTAACCTTGACCATAGATTCCTTATCCCCAAATAAAAGCACTTGGTTACTAGACAATCCATCACGGTATCCAAGTGTCGAGCTGTGTGTGACACTGTAAACAGGACTGGTGTCGCCTGGATCCGTTAGCGAATGTGCTTTGACACGACGTGGGGCGGCGGGCGCTGCCAGCTCACCCCTGCAGAGAGCGCTCATCCCCGTGCCTGCGATCCACCGCTGGGGGGCCTGCCGTCCCAGCAGAGGCACCTGGAGCTTTCCAGCCGCCTGCCGGCAGTTGTGCCATACGTGTTTTTCACCTATTGTTACAGAAGTGTGCTTCTGCTTCTGCAGAGTATCAGTGACTTTATTGCGAATATGCGTATATCCCCTTCAAGGTTGCCTTTGCAAACACACAGGTACTGGCTAAGGCTGCGTTCTGGCAGGTGCTTACTGCCCACCCTCTCTCTGCACTAAAATTAAGAGGAGGTGAAGCTGACAGTTGCTGAGATCTGGCCCTTGGTCATTAATTTTAAGTTTCCTTGTATCAGATCTCGAGGCCTTAAAAAAGCGTCCTTGCGCATTAAGTCAGCACTGCTTTCATTTTTAGGAATGGCTCAGATTGCACAAGTACTACAGAGGAAACAACAGTGAAAGCAAACATGTTTTGGTTTTTTTCCCTTTTTTTTTTTTTAACCCGATCCTTTCACTTTTAAGGAAGAGAAATGGGGCTTTGTGAGACCAGTGGACGATACTCAATTTTACCCTTCTCCAGACTTCTGCACTTACTTTACCACAGTTTTCTGTATCAAAAACTAAGCTGAAGACTTTGGTGTTGACTGTTTCATAAAGTCCTTCCAAATAACACTAGAAGCAACTCTTGGAACCTAAAATGGCTATATGTATCCATCCTAACAAATAGACAAGAATTTACAGGGGATTAAAGAAGTTTTACAATCCATCAGCTCCTTAGTGTAGTTAAAAGAACATATCCAAGGAACAGTTAATCTCTTCCAACTGCCTCAGGAAAAATAAAACTAGTATATTTCGTCCCATTTACTGCACATAAATGACAATTTAAAACATGTATTTCCTGGTGCAGGGCTGACTATTAGCACTTTGAGAGTCTCTGGAGTTTCGGATCCCACTGTGCAGGCGATACCACAGCAGCATATATTGATGTGGGTCTTGGATATTCAAGACCTGGCACTAACTGAACAAGTTCAATTACTGAAGTTAAATTGGGATGGTGCTTCCCACATACTGGGCACACTAATCTAAGTTTTAATCACCTGGCAGTGCTCATTTACAGTCAAAGCTGAAACTGCACACCCCAACCCAGGCCATGGGGCTTTTCCAGTGCCCAAGAACATGACTCAGCCCTTGTGTGCAAACTCCCTCTCTCTCCTCCCAGGGCTGAAGATATTTCCGCTCCTGACAACGACCATTTTACTAGGCTGCTGTAGCACTAAGGCACCTGCTTGTCACCAACACTCCAGAACAAAGTTTAGAAAAATTTTTGCTCTGCTGTGGCAGTTGCTGTGTCAATACTGAAGTATGATTTGATTTTAATAATGCTTTTGTTTTGTAAAGTGCACCATAGTTATGAGGGGGTGGGGGGTGTAAGAAAGGGAAAGGGTTTCCTCTTCAATTGCTACAATATTGAGAAATTCAGAGAAATTTCAGTGGATTGCCAAGACTACATTACAGACACTCTAAAAACCTGTATGCAACTGTTTGGATTGTAACAAGCTAATTGTATCGAAGCACAAAATCAAGTTAAACCCTGAACACTGCATGAGATAGTATTTGGCACATCTGTTTATAAACAAGCTGTAAACCCGTCACTTACATGTATTGTGGCTTCTACAAGCTGTTGACGCACCAGCATCTCCTGCTTAGTCTTTAGGATTTCAGCCCTAGATAAATGCACAAGTCTGAAAGATAGAATAAAATTCTGCCAGGCAAAATTCTCTCTAGGATACCCTCCTGTACAATTCTGTGAGTTTATCACTGACCCATATACAACAAAGATAGACAGATGCCAGAAGTGACAGGCCAGAACTCTTGTTAGCACAAACCTTTGAAAATAAGAATCTCTTGACACTGTTTAATGTTGGAAATGGTCTATGATTAATAGCAACAGAGAAGAAAACGCCTTCCTTTTACAGAACAGAAAGGCAAACAGCAACTTCAGGAATAACTGAAGTTGTCCCTCAAATATGACATGCTATCAAAAGTTAGTATCACTGGATCACAAAAAAAAAAAAATGAGAGAAAGAAGTGCATGTTTCTGAAAACATCCAGGGATTTGAAGCAACAGTTAGACTAAGTAACCAAGTTGTGGCCCACAATATTTCACAGATGAGCAGGAGGTGGATTAGATACACAGGGCTGCAGGGCCTTGTGGTTTCTGCAGTCACTATGAAGTTTGCATAGAGAAGATGACCCACCCCCAGTAAAGTAATTGCTGTTATTTTCCAAGAGGAATGCTCCTTCAAGGTCCAAGAAAACCAAGGACAGCATAGTTTTCATTATGCCCATGCCCTCTGCTAGGGAGTCTAAAGGCGCTGAGGTGGAGCAGGGAGAAAAGAAAAGGAACAGGTTTGAAGAAAGGTGTAGTTACAGTAAGATGCAACATTGCCTTTTAGTTTAAAAAAGTGCCCAGATTAAAAAAAAAATACTGTTGGGAGAAAGGAAATATGGAATACTGAAGTGTTATTAAAGAATCTGCATTCTTTATCTGTTTTAAATAGTTCAGACTTCCAAGAAGTAACTTATGAATTTGCTCTAGCATTAAATTTTTTTGTAACAAAAGCAGAAGCCACATGTGAACATTTATACCTATACCTGTCCTTCCATGCAAGCAGGCAGACAAGGACAAAGGAAGCCGAAATGATACAGACAACTGCCTTTCCAGGGCCTTCAGCAAGTGCTCTGCAGAACAGCAGCACAAAAGGTTTCAGGTGTCCTTAAATATATAGTTCTTTTGCTGAGGGAGAAATAAAACACCTGTTTTATTCTCACAACAGAGCATTTAGTGTTTTGAATTAAGATATTAGTGTCAGATTAGAAAGCTGACTAGACTAAGTTAAAGAAAAAAAAATCTATGAGAATGTCATAAAATTTCTATGTTATTATTGGAGAAGGTGTTAATTTTAATGTATTTTCATTTTTCTTTAGACTCTGGCAGAGACAGCAGTCTCCAAGAAATTAGTCTTCAATAAAATGCAAACTACATGAATAGGGGAAAAGCAAGACTTCAGAAAAAAAGTAACAAATTTTAACAACCATGTAAGTGTTATTTGTGGCTCATGATTGCTAATAGATACATACTAGCAGTAATGTTGAAATTCAGGATACAGGTTTTGGTTTTATCTTCTGAGAGCTTCAATAACTTCAATGCTTTGTCTTTTGCTGCTTTCAGTTTCAAGGAGGTCCTGCAGCATTAGCAGTGACATGATGGCATGCTAACTGCTGTAGCCTGGCAGGAAGAAGGCCAAACTCATTTCTGCTGAGCAGTCATTAAAATGGTAAAAGCTTGCAGCTCGTTACTTGCCTCTCAAGTCATACACAGCAACGGTGTACTTGTTAAAACAAAGGCAGTTTGCATGACCTGAGGTACAGCATAACCCAACAGTGGTTTGGGTACAAAACCTTTAAATAACTGTTTTCATCTGGATTTGTAAGCTTTTGAACATGAGACTGAATTGCTGTGCGTCAAAGTGCAAGGCACATTTCTAGGCCAAATTGTGTAGCTCGTGTGCACACATCTAAATCTAGGCAGAATATCAATTACTAGAGTAGCATTTAGAGTCAAGCAATCATGCTGTTTTCTTATTTGCACACGACAGCAAGTTCTGTTTAAATTTTATAACTTTTAAACAGGGATGAACATGATTTGCCTGTCTGGTAAGCTGGGCAAGTCAAAATTCATAAAGTCTATCGAGCTACTGAAAAGTACATGACAAACGTTCTTCCATGACAGAATACTAAGCTTCAGTCTTAGATCACAAAGATGCTCCAAGCAACTAAAGCTGGCATTTTTTTTTTGTACACTGTCACAAACTGAAGCATTTCTTCTAGAAGGTCTATTGGCCGATGTGATTAATTGAAACTTGCCATTTTCAATCATGTGTGAATCTGATATGACAAGGAACAAAAATCCCAAGGTAGCACAAAGGCTTGTTCAGCTACCCAGACATAAGATTTTATGTAGTGCATAAAAGTTTAAGTCTCTGGTAGGTCTGGGCTGCAAATTTTTCACAAAACACAGTCCTTATTGTACTTTGTCAAATCACTCTTCACTTAATTTCAATATTTTCATCTGTATTCAGATAAAAATACCTAGCTTAATTTATCAGAAACACAGGAGAAAGTGTGAACAGGCACTAATGAAGGCCTAAACAGAGCCAGTCTCTTCTCTCACTGAGGCATATAGCCCCCTTGCCTTACAGTCTGTGGGAGGTAACTTTTTGGCATTTCATCAACTGATGGTGGATTTCCCTCCATTGTTTCATGTCTCACAGTTTGTCCTTCAGTACTTGTCTGTACAACATCTGACAGAGCAGCTTCCTGGATATTTTTTTCCAGCCCAAGACCCACCAGCTGTGAACTCTGACCTGAGATCTGCAGTTGTGCAAATCCAGCAAGATCTCCCTCATTAGCAGAAGCAATTAGCTTTGCTCTTTCAAAGCATGGCCTGTCTGTGTTAGTTTCATCCTGACCACCACTTTGTTTGAAATACTGCTGCCTCTGTGTTGTGCTGTCACCTCCTCCAGTGTGATCCTCTGATCTCTCTTCTGAATCTAGCAGTGGCTGAGTCGACTCAGACCTTGAAAAGACTTGGACAGGAGTTTGGTCTCTGTAGCCATTAAGTACTACGGTTGAATACTGTACAGTGCTTGAAGTGTTTTGTGTAGTTTCGCCTTCGTCGCTGTCAGAGACACTTTGCCTAGGAGAAGACATGCATGAGGATCCTCCAATACCGCTGCTGTGGCCTTCTGAAGTACTCTTCTCCTTTTTAAGCAAGTCAAAGGGCTTTAGATCCTGTTCTGAAAGAGACTTCTTGTCATCAGCTTCTATTTCTACGACACTTACATCTGTAAAGCTGCCTTCAGGGTACATCTGATCTTTGGAACTAAAGTTATGCTGAAAGAAAGAAAAGTGGATGTTGCCTAAGAGGAAGGTTATGTTCAAAATCAACCCCCCCAATAAATACATTAATTTTTATTCTGTAATTATTTTGAGTTTCTTCATGTAAGTTCTCTCCTTTCTAAGTCCAGCTGTATCTCCAAAGTATCTGTTACAAAATGAATTATCTAGCTTTGTTTCCAATACAAAGTCTTAATTATGCAGCTATTCTAAACCCATAGTGTAGTGTGCAAGCTTTGCTCTAATTTTAATATTCTTAAGAGCTGTAACTATTTCCTGTGCAGCACAGGAACATTCTATATTGAGAGCCATACGTACATGGCTTCCAATAATGTATTCAACATCACAGCACTTCTTCACGCAAGTTAGCCAGTTTATTGCACAGAAATTTCTTTGTCATTCACCCAGCACGGGGCACAAGTTTTGCTGGCATCTCATCCATGAGGAACTCTTAGAGCTTCCTCTCTCATTCATGACTTAACTGTGCAAACACATGTCACTTCAGAGTTTTAAGAATGGGAATCATCAGCCTTGTTTGCTTAATCCCAATTGCCCATGAATGAGTAAAATAATTAGGACTTAACCTTTCCAACTAGTAAACAAGATAATTCACAAAGTTAAAACCTGCTTTATTCTGTGAACTTGTGCTAAGCATCATATATTTCTAATGCTGGAACTATTGATGCAATAAAATCTAACCATATCATAGCACAATGCCACGGAAGTTAACAACTCAGCTGTTCTCTCCCCCCAAACCCCTGCCTTGAAATTCACATGTACTAGAAGACTGGTTAGCTTTTTTGAAACCTTGTAGAGTGGGTATATAGGATGCAGAAAGATGAGTATTACCTTAGCTGGAACTTGAGGAGACCACTGAGCAATGTTACTTTTGGATGGATCAGGGACAATAGGCCAGATATGCTTTTTAATTCTGTAAAGGATTAAAGACAGAATAAAATTACAAGATGCACCCTCCAAATTCCTATGCTGACAGGAAATAGTGCATAATTCACCCAGTACTGCACAATCCAGGATGCCACTCCTTTACACAGTGATCTTGCGAAAGCATTCACTTCCAAACAGGAATGCTCCCTGCACCTTGCATCTTTATTGGAAGCTGTACTACTCAAAGCACTGCACTTCTAACTCCTTTGCATATTAGACGTAGCCATCATACCTAAGGCAAAACAACAAATAGTAATATTTGTCTATATTTTTTGGCTGTAAAGCTTAAAGTTTGCCAACACTAACTGAATAGCTCAAACACACCCTGCAAACGAATCTTCTGAGCTTCACAAGCTAGGGACAATCATTCCACTCTCACATGATGGACTAAGGAAACAGACAGTATATCCTGAGCAAAACCTAACAAATGTAATCCTGACCAACTCTAGCAAGAAAAGCAGAAATCTCCTTGCAGGATTGTCATGGAACATTTAGTTTCTGCACTAATGTTAACAGAAGAAACTAGTTTTAACAAGAAATTGGTTTCAAAAGAGGCACCAATTTCTCAAGGAAAATACAAGAATGTTTATCTCTAGTTAGTGTATGAGTGTTTTACCTTCTTTTTCTGATCCAACAGCAGGATATTTACTTGTTTGAGTTGAATTATTATCATATCTCTGTTATGTCTGGAAATATCAGAGGCATAACACAAAGACTTCATGTATACTTACAAGTCACGTTTATTGAAGCAAAACAAAACCCCAAGAAGCACAATCAACAGGAATGCGAGACACACAGGTACAACTATGGCTTCAATTTCTCCTTTCCCTGAGGAAAACAAAGAGAAGCAGTTATAACCTGCTTTCACAAGCAAAGAAGTCAGCAGCAGCATACATTCCCAAAAGAACAGGGAGAATCTGAAACTCAAGAAACCTGCAGTGCCCAGTCTTGAGTTTCACCTTCAGGAGAACTTTTTCACCATATGAAAAGTCTCTTGGTGAAAATATGAAAAGCTCTGTCCCAACAACCTGTCTTTCATCAATAAAAATACCACAGGCTGCTCTAGAAGCTGTAATACTGACAGAGCAAGTAATTTTACAGTTTGGGAAGATATGGCAGTAACAGTCATGTGAGTTCATCTGTGGTCCATGTTTCCACGGCCTACTGGTGCCACAACATCATAGTCAAATACATAATGTAAGCAAAGTCACTAGTCATCCATCAGATATATTCTGTAATACAAAAATGTCCTCTGCCTGCAAGCGTTTTAGGTTGCATTACTATGTATTGTTTCCAATGGTATACACATTCTTACGTACACCTTACAGAATGCCTATGTGTCATGGTTTAAGCCCAGCCAGCAACAAAGCACCATGTGGCCACTTGCTCACTTCTCCCAGGTGAGATGGAGAAGAGAGTGTAACTAAAGGCTTGAGGGTCAAGACAAAGATAGGGAGATCACTCACTGATTATGGTCACAGGCTAAACAGACTTGGGAAAAAAAATCCATTTAATTTATTACCAATCAGAGTAGGATGAGAAATAAAACCAAATCTTAAAACCACCTTACCCTGAGTCCTTCCCTTCTTCCTGGGATCAACTTCACTCCTGATTTCTCTGTCTCCTCCCCTGCCAGCAGCAGGGAGGGGAATGGGGGTTGCAGTCACTGTCTCACATGGTCTCTACTTCTCCTTCCACCTCAGGACTCCTCACACTCTTCCCTGCTCCAGTGTGGGGTCCCTCCTACAGAAGAAGTCCTCCACAGTGTCCTCCAGTGCGAGTCTGCAGGTGGGCATCTGCTCCACCTTTAACCTCCATGTGCTGCAGAGGGACAGCCTGCTATGTCACCACAGGCTGTAGGAGAGTCTCTGCTCCAGCACAATTTCCTAAATCCTTCAGTGACTTTGGTGTCTGCAAAGTTGTTCCTCTCACATCCTGCTCTGCCACTGGAAGTTTTCACAGTATTCCCCACCCCGCTTCTTAGACGTTATCACAGAGTCACTACCACTGCAAGTGACTGGGCTGGCCTTGGCTAGAGACAGATCTGACTTGGAGCTGGGGAAGCTTCTTGCAGCTTCTCACAGCAGCCACCCCTGTAGACCTTCTCCTGCTACCAAAGACCTGCCACACTTTTGTGGTTTGAGGGTTGGGATGGGGGCGTGACCTTCCAGCACCTGGGAGGACCCCAGGTGGGGGTGAACCATTGTATTCCCTCCCCTTCCCACACACACTCTGCTAAGAGGCAGGAAGTGGGTGCTAACGGCACTCCTGCCCTGCAGCTCAGAGGTGGAGGTTGTGCTTTCGCTCCGTGGGACCTTGGAACTATTTCTGAGGGTTTCGTATATTTTGCTTATTTTTGTATTTCCCCTAATCTTTGTATATATTTTTTTTCTTACCTCCCTTTTTTGTTTTCTGTTCCTTGTTAAACAATATGCTTCATATTTTTTTTTCCAAAGTCTCTCTCTCTCTCTGGGAGGAGTGGGGGAAGGGGAGTACATAGTTCTGTTCTGTGTGGGTCCTGCCCTGAACCCCGTTTTACACGGAACCAGAACACACAAATTCAACACATTAGGGAGCAGCAACACTAAACAGGAAGGAAAAAAAACAACCGAAACACTCAAAACTTGCCAGATTTAATTAAGTGATTTCCACAGTTAAATTTGGTTAATACTGTTGTTCTTACCATTATAAAAAGGAAGCTCTCTCTCTAAAGCTGAACATACAATAAATTTAAGTCGTCAAAATGAGTCCTTGTAAAGAACTGTAGCAAACTTTAATATGAATAAGAAGGTGGAACTTGAGGAAGAGTTGTAAGAATGGCATGTACTGACTGGCACCTAGATCACAGTTCCAGCACACCTTTGCAGCTTCTCAGGACACCCATACCAGGATAATAAGGGCCAATCTACCTTCAGAATAAAACAAAACCTCTGGACTCTAGAACCAGGATAGGAGCCAGACACCAGAAGAGAAGACAAGAGCACTAAGAAAAACTATAACCTAAAGTATACACAAAGCACACTCAAACCCAGCATATTTGTCAACATAAAAGAGCAATCCAGGAGGCTTACAGAGAATAACTTGTCCTCCATACAATCAGAAGAAATCCTGACTGACTCTAAGTACTAGAGAAGCTACTCGGATTAACACTCACTTTCCAAGTGTGACTGCAACTGAAACCAGCTCCCTTTAAATGAAATCACCTTCCCCTCCTATTAGATTTTGCACAGAGCTTTGCTATGTTGTTGCAATATTACTTGCTGGTCCTACTGATTATGACACTTTCTCTTACCAAATTTTTGAGTAGTAAATGTAAAATCAGGACCACTCCTGCCTCCTTCATCCGTGTATGCCATCATCCGCACAGTATACAGCGTGTCACTTGTCAGAGAAGAAAGGGTATACTCCGTCTTGGAAGGATCCACTGTCACAGCTAAAGAAAGGAAAACACTTAGATTAGTTTTCTGTACAATTTATTATATCTCCATAGACACAGCAGCATTAGGACATCATGTCTTCAGATGTACAAGACAGTTTTAGTAGAACGCATGGGTATACAGGAGATAAAATAGACACAGAAAGACTAAAGACCTTTACAAGAAATGCCGATATTAATTTGTTTCTGTTCAAGTGTTTAACACAAAATATTAAGAGAATAATTTTCTGTAGTTATTTACCCCCTGAGAATGTAAGTACAAACTAAACGAGTAGTAAAGTTGAAGCTTAAGGTGTTTTAAGCAGGATACACAGCTAACAAGAAATAGCTAGTTATTAACTAGAAAAAACATAGTTAACTAAAAATAAGGAGGAGGAGGATATAAAGCAGGGGTTAAGTAATTGGCTGTTCCAATTTAAGCAAATGTAAAAAAGCAGTTTTTGATAGTGCTAGCTCCCTGTCTATAGCCTGCAGGTCATACACACTACTGGGAAGTAAAATGTACTTCAAACAAGATGCTTTACATCAGTAATATATTAATCTAGAGTTCCAGGAGGATAAAAAAAAAATTACCCCCCCCCCCCCCCCTCCTATTTTTAAGGCTTTATCCTAGTTAAGTGCAGTCAACTCCTTTACATATTTAATTGTCTAGCTTCATCTTGCTATACCACCAACTTCTCCTGTACTTTGACAGGAAGATATGAACACAACACCTGTATGTTAGCGTTCAGAAACTAAACTCAGCACCCTGTTATGCAGAGATAGAATGTTCTGAATTCTTTATCATGGACTTTTCTATATGGAGAAGAGCTATGCCTCAGACATCAGCATTATGTCATCATAACAGACTGGCAGCTACACTCAAATCTGTACCTTTTTTTCAGGAACATATATTGGAAAGGATACAGATGGAATATTTTAATATCACAGAACATTTCTCTGCTTTCTGTTACCTGTTTCATTTCCATCAATAGTTTTGTAAAATATGGTGTAACTTCTGATAAATCCATTTTGTTCATCCACTGTGAGTTGGTTCCATGTCAAAACAGCTTCAGCTTTTCCCACCTTTTTGGTTTGAACAGTGGGTCCTTTTGAAGGACCTGTAATGGGGGATGAAGATGAGTTTTCTCTTGAGCACCCTTGCATAGAAACAGTGTATTAATGAGCACTGAACTGCTACTGCATAAAAAAAAAAAATCAAAGGACTAGCTGGACTAACTCATCTGCAAAGCATTATTTTCAGACAACACAGCAACTCCAAAGACGTTTTAAAAGTGAAACCTCCAGGAAGAAGGTAAGAAAAACAGTATTCATCAGGTCACATGAAATCTTCAACTGAAGTTAATCTTGGCTTTACACCTGAAATTTAAAATAAATATGCACAGAGATATTACTATACCAATAAAATAAACTCATGCCAAATTGTCCGAAAAAGGTTGGAAAAAATGAAAAGAGTCTGCCACAGACATCTGTTTAATTCCTAAATACTGTAAATAAGCAGAATGGATGCTAAGAGAAGGGACAAGATCGATTATGTCAGATTATCCTTGAGTTTAGAATAATTTTTCATTACACAGTCCCAATTTAAGCAAAGGCCTCATTTTTTGTCAAGGCAGTCATTTTATGTGATTTAAGATGCCTGGTTTGTACTTACGATCCTGCTGA